TTCTTTATTGAATTGATTGTATTGATTTCAATTGACCTGACGATTTCATTGTATGGATTTGATTTCGATTGCTCTGTCGATATGTTGATTTGATCGTTCTATGGATTCCCTGCTGATTGATATAATGGACTGGAAAGTGCTCTATTGATTGAGATGATTCATCTTACGTCGTCATTATGGAATTGTTCTTACTGATGTATTGACATTGAATATCGTATATTGACATCGAGTAAATTGTATTGAATAATTGACTGACTGATTTGTAAGAGTACGTTCTGATACGAGTCTCTTATTGAATTGATTTGATGCTATGGATTGCTATTGACTGAAATAGATATTCAATTGATTAGATGGATATTATAGATACAATGGAATGACTAGACGACACGACTGATTGAACTGATAGTATTGATTGATAGACACTGCTACGATGGATAGATATTGACTGAAAGCACTTACTGATTTGATCGCTGTGACGTATTGATTTATTGATCCTTTTGCCGTCGTATTGACTATTGATTATTGATTGATTCGATTTGATTTGATTTCTGTATTTGCATAGATTCATTGATCATAGTCTTTTGACTTGCTTTGACTTGACTTGATTGACCTGCATATTGTTTCAGTGTCGTGCTTTGATTTCAGTTGTAGGCTTTGGTGACCTGCTGGGCTAGTTAGCTCATTATATGTGGTTAATATTTCAGGTGCAGAGCCTCCCGCGTGATGCTTCTTCGGTTGCTGTAGCTTTATTTTGTAGCCTTGGTAGACTTCTGTTTTGTAGCCGTATTGCTATTGTATATGACCTTTTGGACGCTTCTGCTGATTGTATATGTTGATATGTGAATTATAATCGCTGCTATTTTTTTCTCTGTAATGTAATTATCTATTGTTCAGAGTGATGGTGAAATAGATGGGGATATTATCAGCAGAATTCAAGTTGGATGGTTGAAGTGGCGGAATGCATCGGGCTTGTTATGTGATAGAAATGTACCCCTCAAACTTAAGGGAAAATCCTATAAGATGATAGTGAGGCCTGCAATGCTTTATTGTGCTGAATGTTGGCCATTAAAAGAGAAGCATAATACTAAGTTAAGTGTGGCAGAGATGAGGATGCTCAGTGGATGAGTGGCTTTACCCTTAGAGATAGGATACGAAATGATCATATATGTGAAAAGGTTGGAGTAGCTCCAGTAGAAGATAAGATTAGAGAGAGTCGCCTTTGATGGTTTGGTCACATAAAACGACGGCCTTCCAATGACCCGGTTAGGAGAGTAGAGGTATTAGATTTGACTTATGCTAAGAAAGATAGAGGCAGACCTAAAAAGACTTGGTTAGAAAATATTAGGAATGACCTTTCTTTATTAGATTTAAATGAGAATTTGACCTTTAATAGGACACAATGGAGAACAAGGATTCATGTAGCCGACCCCACATAGTGGGATAATGACTTGATGTTGTTGTTGTTGTTGTAGTGATAAAGAAGATATATTATTCACTAGCAATGATAAGGAAGATATATGTAAAGTTAAACACAACTTACTGAATTATTTTATAACCAAAGATCTCAGGGGCCTCAAAAAATTTCTTAGGATTGAATTTGCTTACAGCAAGGAAGAGGTCTTTCTATCTAAAGAAAAAAAGAAGTCATTAATCTCCTTGAAGAACCCAATTGAGCTTAGCCGTCGATCTCTCACAGCAACCCGCACACAGCAGATCAATCACAATTCGCTGCCTCTACCTCTATTACTCATAGCCGCAGCCTTCTATTCGGCCGAACCTCACGCACAAGCTGTCGAACTCTCAGCCCATAGCTGATCGATCCGACTCCCAGACTCTAGCCTAGCATTCGATCCGGTCGCTTTCTTGCAGTCGTGAGCCAACTTAAACAATTGATCCCAACATGTACCGCTTGACGCCTTCACTTTATCGGCCGAAACCAACGTCGAGTCTCCACTAACGCCTCAACCCGATCTCAACTCCAAGCCGAGCCCAGCTCTACTTCGATCCTGACCTTCACCAGGATCCCAACCTATACAATGTTCCTCCTACAGGCCACTTGATCTCCGACTAGCCGCAATCTAGCCTTCATACCCGAACCCTCATCCTCACATCCAACAGTTGCTCTCTCCCTCTTGATAATATATATATATATATATAGAAAAGAAAAAAAAAGAGAGGAATTTTTATGATTTCGTCGTCTTCGTTGTCCCGACACTATCGCTGTCGATTTGCTTGCTAAGGCATAATGCCCCTCAAACTCAAAAAACCTCAAATCATGCTTTCGACGTTCGCGTTGCACTATTAAACCACATATACATGCTTTTCTCTAGCGTGGTGGGCGGGAATCCTGTGCGACGCTCGCGAGGAGGCGAGTAGGCTATGTACATGCTTTTATTTAGTGTGATGGGGACAATCATAAGTACCAGTGTATTTGCCGTCATGCCTGTGAGGAAAGAACCGTGCATTTCAAACAAGTATCCTTGAAGACTCATACACGCCTTTCTCTGGCCTGATGTGATTAAGACCATGATCATGGTGTCACCCGACACCTACCTTCCACATTTTTCTCCAACGTGGTGGGAAGGCCCATCTCCCAAAATTTCTCCAAAACAGGAAAGACGTCGGGACGCCGCCGAAATTCAAGCTGGAAATACACTGAGCTTAGACAAATACCAGGGGACCTAAACTTGAACAATTGACAGTGAACGAAACTTAAATAATAAACAGGGAATTGGACTTCAAAATTGATAAATGTTTGATCAAAATGAATTTATCAAGGCCGAATAACAACTTTAATTATTCAAATGAATATCAACAAATAAACATGAGACTTATGGCATACAAAATTATGAGCATAAATCAATGATAATGCACAATCTAATTGCGAGCAAAGGCAAACAAATATTGCAAATCATGTGAAAATAATAGTGATTGATTATGACATTTGTATAAATCAAGCGAGCAAACATACCCTTCTGGAAATGAAGGAGGTTTATGCACATAATAGTGTGCTTGCAAGTGACTAGTAGAAGCTTGTGAATGTTCATGGACAACAATGAAAGACATACAAGTGAACATAATAACTCACTAGCTAACATGCATGAAGTGGTTAGTGACGGATGCAACAATGCCTTGCAATCAACTCAAAATACAAGCAAATATATTCAACATTGCAAGCAATGAAATTAGAGGGAATGTATAATTTGATTGCAAATAGATTTACAAAGTCTCTAAATAATACTGTAAGTTGCATACAAATGATGACAGTTGATTTGTAATGCTCACTTAAGTCACGCAAGAAAATACAGTAAGCCCTACAAGCAGCAACAATAGATATATTGCAAGGATGGTCGGTCCTTTGTGAACATAGACATACACACAACATATCATCTACAGGCAGAGAAAACATATTTGCAATGCATACAAACACCCATGAAGCCGTTGTAACAACCACTCAGCGACAGGTGAGTACATTAATTCCCTGCAAGCAGTAGAGAGCAACATGCAGCAAATGCAAGTGCCTACGAGCTGCTGTAAGAAACTTGCCATACTCAAATACAGAAGAGCTGTGATAAATGCAAGCACCTACAAAGCAGTGTTGGAGGATGCCACACTGAACACAATTCACCAGCATGTGGCAATTAAAAACAAAGGGCGTCCCACAATGAAATGCTACAATTCACCTGTAAGCAAAAGAAGAGAATTTGTAGTAAAAACTGCGGGCTTCTGGTAAATTGAATCAGCAAATTTGCTGCGCCAGGCTATCGTACCAGATAAATTAGCTCGCTTGCAAGAAATAGGCGGAAGGCTCCTGATGCATCGTATAACTCGTTTGCAGGCTAAAGTACACTCATGCATGATGAATATTGAAGAAAATAATAACACACAGAAGATAAAATAAGCAAAACTATACTGCCGAAGTACGACAAATGAGGCCTAATGCGCTACTAGATAACGCTACCGGATCTGTAATATTTGTACAAGCAGATAGAAAACGTCTACAAGTTTCGAAATAAAATGTTGTGCTCACCCAAATGAGAGCCACTCACAGAGCCAGTTAGTGTCTAGCATTTTAAAGTATCCTCTCGCATGCATTTACAATAAGAAGAATGTTTCATTCAAGCATGCCACTCAGCATTTCATTTATATGCAAAAATATCACATGCTATAAATAAACAGTGTACAATGCATTTGCCAACATGCATGCATATATATAATTAAATATCCGCATGGGCCTCAACGAGTGTGATGCATGCACATACATAACGTTTGAGGATGTTGCGTGAGTCAAGAAATGAACCTAAATTCGAACCCGATCCTTTTATGTAAATAGATAGGAGTCGCTACGACTTGAACTATCAAACAAATATATGATTGCAGCACCGACCGGGATATTTATTTTATACGTTCATTTTAGGCCTTCAAAGTTTACAATAAAAAAAATTCATTAATAAAGTCATAAAGCCGATGACGAACCCGATCCCCTATCAGCAAGTAGACAGTCAACAATATTCAACAGAAAAAATGAAATTGCCCATAATTATGTTGATGAAAATCTCAATTGGAGGGGATTCCAAATATTCAAAATGTCTCCAAATTCCCATGAAATATATTCATTGATGTCAATATTTAAAATTGAAATAAATCACCAAAATACTTAAAACAAAAATATCCATCCATCATCCACAATAGTTTACTGAGGTGGACAAATCTAAAAATAATTCAACTCACAAAGAGCAAATGTCTAGTCGAGAATATTACTAGGATTAATTTTCAAGCCGTCTCTTGCCAGTAAGGACGTGACATGTGTTCTGTAATCGGTGGTTTCATCGCCAAATGCCACCACAGGTAAACGGTTATGATCGAGACCTTTTGACCGGGTGGTTTTTCCCTCAAATGACACCATTAAATTATGTTTATAGTCAAAGCCCGTATGTTCCCCAATGGTGCTAAATCATTGGGCAATGAATCAATATGATATGATCGATAGGGCACAAAGCTTCCTATTAGCTAAGTTGGATTCAAATTCGTCCCCTTAGACAAATATTTATCCCAGGTCTACAAGGTACCCTTGGACAAAGTAGCTTATAGTTGCTGACAAGGATCCTTCTGTCAGGTTGGGTCGACTACCTCCTTTGACTAAGTAGATTAGGTATCATGATGATCTGGGATGACAAAACCTTGGGATCTTGATAGTCTATCATCATTTCCCCCACCATCCGTTTTAAGTGCAAGGTGATGAATTTCTAATTTTAAATATTAAAATTTTAAACACCTAAACCATGTTCCTACTATATGCTGGATACTACGTATCTGTTTGACGGCTAGCCTTAATCGAAAGTTCTTTCTCGTTACAGGGAGGGGTAATTAACTTTAGGGGTTTACTCATATAGGAAACCTGAACTCAGATCATAAAATCCTAACAAAATGAGGTTGAAATCTCCGGGTAATGTCTTATTCAAAACCCAATCTACCTTCTGAAAATTTGGCTTGAAATTTAAGTGTTAAAACTCTCCTCGACGACCCGAAAAAGAGAAAGGGGCCGCGGAGAGGCCGGCGCGCGAATTTTTAGAGCCCACAGGAGGGAATTAGGAAGTTTCCTAATCAAGAGGAAGCTATTTATGAAGTTTCTTAATCAAAGAGGATTTATTTAGGAAAATTTTAATTACAATTAGTAGAGAATTATTTACGGTAAGAGATTCAATTTGAATTCTGATTTGGTGGGGATTAATTAGGAGATATTTCCTTATTACAAAGGGCAGATTTGGGGCTGATTTGAGAGGCAATTGGGGGATGGCTGTTTTGAAATTTGTTGTTTATTGTTTGGTATAAGTAGTAGGGTTTATGTTATGTTTGGTATGCAGAATATTATTGAGAGTGCTTTAGTTTTTTTTTTTTTTTTGAGGGATCCTAGCAGCGTCTAGGGTTTGGGAGAGAAGGTCCTCCTTGACAGAGGACCATTGTATTTTGCTTTGTTCGTATTTGATTTTCTATCAATAAAAAATTATTTTTGTGTTGAATCTCTTGGAGTTTGTTGTTGTTGTTGTTGTTGAACTTGATTCCCTGGGTAATTTCTTGATTTCCTGCTATAATCAAATATTCTCTTCTTTCTTTTTCTCTATATGCTTAATTCAGTCCTCTCCAGATTAGGAATAAATCCAAGGGAGAAACAAAGCGAGGAGCTCGTAATCATCGAGGTCTTCACCAATTTTCTTTGAATGTTAAGCTAAATCAAGATATATTCTTTATATTCATTTCTCTCTTTATGTGCTGAAGTGTATTTTTTTTGCTATATCTAGTACATACACCTTCACTGTTTTAAACATTCTTCAAATTATGATATATTTTTATTATGTTTTTGTTTTCATGCGTGAAAGCTATTGTGAGCCCATAAGCGTTTAAATTTCAGGTGGTAATCGGCGGTCCATTGCAGCCGCATATTGAGCATATCATTAGGAGCAAGGCATCTTCATTGAACTCTCCGGTATTGTCAGCATGTGATGCTGGAATTAAGAGCATTACAAGATTCTTTGGAAGAGAGGCGGAAACTCCCTATCAATGTTGTGAAATTCACATCAACATTCAGGAGGATATACCATTGGTATGGATCTGCTGCACGTTTTATGGATCATAAGCATGCAGTGTTTCTATTCAAATGAGAGAGCGTAGTGTTGTATTTTATCAACGAGCAGATCAGTTTAGCTCATACTTTGCAGTTTCTTGACTTGCCTGATGTAAAACTCCGAATGCTTGGAAAGCATCAGCTCCAAAATGCCGTTACGGCTACTTGTGCTGCTCTCTGTCTTCGAAATGAAGGTAAGCATTCTAATGTCATTAAGGCTTCGTTTGGGTCGGCTTTTTTGTTGCTTCTTAAAGCAACTTTTTAGTACAAAAATTAAAATTTTTATTTTGAAAAACTGTTTTAAGAAGCAACAAAAAAGCCGTCCCAAATGAAGCCTAAATCCCATGAAATCATGTGCATTGTAATTAACTACATGATTACAAGAGTAGCAAGAGTAATCTGGTCTAAAGAAACTCTGCGTATTGTTTAAAAAGATTCTGGTTAGTTGAATATCTCCATTACTGATGAGTTTTCCGAAAATCAAGGGTGGAGGATATCAGATGTGTCAATTCAAGCTGGTTTAGAGAAAACATTCTTACCTGGTAGGGGGCAGTATTTAACGAAGAAAGAAGCTGAGACTTTGGGCTTGCCTGGGGTGTCCATAGTTGTTGATGGAGGTATGTGGAATGTCTTATTGTTATTTTGTAATATAGAAGATGACGAGTTTAATGAAATACAGCTCATACTGAAGCATCTGCTAAGGGATTGATAGAAATAATAAAGATGGAAAACCCAGATGGACCTTTAGCTTTAGTGGTGTCAATGGCAAGTGATAAAGATCACATGGCATTTGCAATGCAGCTTCTTACAGGTATTGCTTTTGTCTTTATCCATTATAATATTGCCTGATTTGTTCACATATAAAACTAATGGTACCTTAAAAAATTAAATCCTCATCTGACACAGTAAATTAAGAACAATATATATCAAATATAGACATTACTTAGCTTTGTTTGGCACAGCTTTCTTACTACTTTCTAATACAGATTTTTATTATAAAAAATTTTGTACTAGAAAAAGTCAGAAAGCTGTCCCAAATGAAGGCTTAATTTGTTTGGGGCCGCTGCTTTTAGGTTTAGGAAGGACCTAACCTAACAAGCCTGACTTGAGCTGCCTCGACAACCTAGCAGATCTCTCACCTCCTACCTCTGGTTCCTTAGTCAGTAATGGGTAGGTCTAGCGGCAGAAGTGTGATTGTTTATCCTAAGACATCTCCACTCAGCATTCCTAGCTACAGAGTTGATCCTGGTTCCTAGCTACAGAGTTGATCCTGCCAGGAGCAAGATATTCAAGTTATGATGCAAGTGGCCTTGCAGTTTCGGTAACAATAGCCCTAGGACATCTCTTTCACAAAGAAACTTATTTCTACCTAATGCTTCTTTCTTTTGGATTAAAAGCAATTTTAGCCAAGCGAAACCCTAAATGTTTGACATAGCAGTAATTTTTCCAATTGAACTAGGCTGCACTGCACCTTCTTCCATCACCAGATAAATTGTAGGACCCCCTCCTTTTTTTTAAGGTCATCGGTCACTCCAGATTGTTAAATGACAGCTAATGTCGAAATCCTATGCATGGCATCCTAGTTCATAGCCGTTATGGTGGCTTAAAGGCCCTTCACTGATGGGATTGAGCGATGTTGCTAAGGCCATGTGCTTGAGATAAATTATAAACATAATGCGTCTCATTCATAAAGGGCTAAAGGGATGCTTTTATTTTGTGTGAAAGCAAAGGAAACCCCACCCCTCAATGGTAGCATGATTTCTTCTTTTTGTGCTATAGTTTCCGTAGGAGCAGTCATTTGGTTTCAATGACAACAATCATTCTAGGCCACCACCACTACAATGAAACTTCTCGCTACTCCCAAATTTTTATTTTTTGTAGTTTAAAAGTTGTTGTAATTGAGCAGAGAATTAAACAGCAATTGTGATCACCATGCTTGCCCTGCTAAGATACCTTGACCTACTGTATATGTACTTGCCCCTACCCCTTCATTGGTTTCTCTAATATGATCAGTTGCTTGGATCATTCTGTGATATCTAGAAGTGAAACTAATGTAGTGGATGGGAAGAAATGGACCTGCCAGAAGTAACACCTAAATCTGGGGAACAAACACAAGCTCAAAGGTTTCAAATGATATAATATTCTTCCTCCCTTCATACGTATAGCAGCTTATATATATAATTAGCTATGATGCACCGACACTTCTCCTCAAAGAGGTGTGCAGTGTCCGACACCGTGTCCAACACGACACTCGTCCGACACGTGTCGGACGCACCGAAAAGGTGTCCGATTAAAAAATATTAAATATAAATTGGACGCGTGTCGGACACGCGTATCTTAAATATTTTATGAATTTTTTAAAATATAATTTCTTGTATTTGACGGGATTTAAACTAAATTTCTTATTTCCTATCCACAACACCAAATCAACGTCCACACTTAATACCCAATCATCGAATATTTTCATTTTCATTTCTTTTTGGCAGTGAAGTTATTTTCATCTCATCTCTCGGTGATTGATAAACGGCATCGACGCCTTACTCTCAACATCCTTATACTAATCATTTTAAGCACAAATTTTAGTTAAATGACTTATTATTTTTAAAATTATACTTATTTAATTTTTATACACTATTTTTTAAATATAAAAACTATAATACGGTGTCCAATCCGTGTCCGTGTCCTATATTTTCAATAACTGACGTGTCCCGTGTCCATGTCGTGTCGTATCCGTGTCGCCGTGTCTGTGTCTGTGCATCATAGATAATTAGCAATAGAAGCTGCTAGAGAAGTCTAGAAAGTAGATATTAAATGACAAACTATTCCTAAGGTAGTTTTATGCTATAATGCATCACATCATTCTCCCCTAGTAGTTGAAGAATCCGGGGCACGGGGTGGAGTCGCGTCATCGGTAGGGAGGTAGATATAGACATTAAAATCAGTCCTCCTGGATCGAAGATTTTGAATGCATACTTCAAAATTTACTGCTTGAAGAGTTTCCTCACTTAACTTTCTTACTTTTGAGTTCTGTTCTTGTAACTTTACTCCTGCATTGAGATAGCATAATCCATCAGTAAAACTTTGCTGTGGATGAACCCACTCAACATTTGCAAAATCTCTTTGATTACTTTGATCTAATACTGCTTTCAACAGAGAAGTTTTCCCAGCACCCTGATGCGCACATAACCGCATGGACGAACTCTGACATGAATCTGCTTTGAAACAGAGATAAAATCACTGGTACAATAGACAACAAAATTAGCTAAACCCTCATTAGTTGAAATTTTTGATTTCTTATCTGGTTTAGTATCAATAGACTCAGCAGCTGGATAAGTAAATAGATGCAAAATTTCATCAACAGGATATTCTGGTGGCCTCTTCAGTGGAGTGCTAATCAGAAGATGCATCTTCTGTAAATCAGGTCGCACAAGAATATTTGATGAGTATAAGGGCATTGACGGTAATGCCTCAGCCACAGCTGGACACCATTTGCCATTTACACCATTTGCCATTTACTTGAGCTTGAAATAAAATACAAATGTGCAGTCCATGGCCAATAATTTCAACTTTAAGTGGTTCAGCATTGATGAACTCAGTGTGCCTTGCTAGCAATGGAAGCCAGCAAGTCTTATACCTGTGGATTGCCCTCTGAAGTAGAGGCCCACGGTAGAGAAATCGATTTCGATCAATAACAACAAGGAACTCAACCTGCTGTTTAGTCGCAGCCACCAGATCTACCAGATCTACGCCAATTACAATCTTCTGGGCATCAAGCTGTTGTTCTGTGATGAATCCGGAGAACGAGTTCTACCAGAGAAGAACTCGTTGAATTTTGGGCAGCTTGGTGACTTGAGGACAACAACAAGGAGCAGATTCCGTTAACATTGCTTGAACTTTAGTTTCTTAGTGTCAAGAAAAGGACAGTAGGGAGTAGTTTCGGTCAAAGCTGCTTGAACTTTGGGAGGCATTGTTTCCTTTGCTTGCATGAGCGCGAGGTTGGGCACGGGATTGTTGGAGCAGGAGCTGATAGTGCGGGAGCGGAGGAGGTCTAGCCAATCACACAAGGTTATTTTTGTTGAGAGAGTTCAGATCTAGGACGCTGTCTGCATTCGACCTTCTTGAGCTTGAGCAGATCAAGCCAGAGATTGAGCGCTCATGAGAAGCAGAAGTGGGGGCGGGAAGTTCGGGAGAATTGAGATTCTAAGCGTGGGATTAGGCACGGTTTGACATGGTCGCTGGGTAGGCTAAAGTCACGCAGTGGGAGCAGACGGTGGATTGTACACGGTCGTTGGGAAAACCATGAGCAGGAGCAGAGTACGAGCTTCGTTCTTAAGAGGAAAACGTCCAGAATCGCGCTAAAGCGGGCGGGTGAGTAGGAGGTGCAGAGGAGCGAAGGCGCCAATATGATTGCCGACATGCATATTCTGTCCACAGAACGAATGAAATTAGAAAATAAATCATCTAATCGATCAAGTGATTCCACACATCTTTGGCGTCGATCATCTTCGATAACCCATCTTTTTTCGGCTTTGATCGTCGTCGACAACCCATCTTCTGCGGTCCATCATTCTTCACAAGCTTCAGACTCTGATATCAATTGATGTAGATACCGATTGATGTAGTGGATCGGCGGAAGAAATGGACTTGCTAGAAGTAATATCCAAATCTGTGGAACAAGCACAAGCTCAAAAGCTTCAAATGATATAATATTCTTCCTCCCTTCCTACTAACATCAGTTTATATATATAAGTAGCAATAGAAGCACCTAGAGAAGTCTAGAAAACAAATATTGAATGATAAACTATTCATAAGGTAGTTTTATGCATGATGCACAACATCAAAAACTCTCTAATTGGCATCTTAGGCTATGAATTCAGCTGTAGGGGCAGATCCAACCTTTATTTTCACAGGGGGGGCATAGCTGTCAATGGCGCAAAATAGCGCGCCAAATTATTTTTAAATTTCCGTATACTTATGAATATTTTTTATATTTAAAAATATATCTATATTTTAAGATAAAGGACTATTCATTGCCCTAATTTCACGAAAGATTTTCTGTTTGCTGCATCCGCCGAACACATCCCGCAGTTCCTAAGTCGAGGTCGCTGAATCTATCCCGAAGTTGAAGGTTTTTTGTTTTCTATTTGCTGCATTCGCTACTTCCGCCGAATCCAGCCGAATCTGTCCCGAAGTTGAAGTCGTTGTTTCTGCCGAATCGTCCCGCAGAGCAGTCCTTTTACCAAATCCGCCCCCTCCTTTGTCTGTTCCAATAAAAAATCTTACCAGCTGACTCTGATTTGCAACCTCCGTCTGTTCCGCACAGCTCTGTTGTTTTGCACGGCTATTTCTTACAGGAATTTAGAACTTAACAGGTATGCTCGGTACCGTTAGTTACATGCTCGGTACCGCTAAGTAAATGCTCAGTACCGCTATGTATATGCTGGATACTGCTCGGTACCGCTAGTTATTTGCTCTGTATCGCTCGGTACAACTAGGTACCAGCTCGGTACAACTAGGTACACGCTCGGTACACACTCGGTATTGCTAGTACATGCACGATACCGCTCGATACTGCTATGTAAATGCTCGGTACAGCTCGGTACAACTAGGTACACGCTCGGTACCGCTTCCTAATTTTTATACAAACGAACTAGGTCGAACCCCGCCAGGGGCCAGCGCCCCCTTGGACCCCCGGCAGCCCCCATATTATATTTCTTGAACAATATTATGTTTCTTTTATCTAAATTT